TGAAACGTGGAGATTTCATATCCCCTGGGAAAGTGTTTATGCGATCTTTTGGCACAAATTTTGGGGAAAACCAAAGAAAATGTTTATACGACCTTTTAACACAACTCAGGCGAATTGCTCACTTCAGGGGATAATGGATCTGCACGTTTCAGATGATTCTGAATCATCTGAGCCCAACTTTTGAGGACAATTTTTTATTTATTTTTCAAAGGGAATTTGGAAACTTGAAATTAGGCCAAAAATTAGAAAAAAAAATTTCTTTAGGGGATAATGAATCTGCACGTTTCAGATGATGCTGAATCGTCTGAGTCCAACCTTTTAGGACAATTTTATTCCATTTTTTCAAAGGTTCAATTCAAAATTTCTAAAATGTCTTTTATTTTGAAAATGTGCTAAGGAGGGGAACTTAATCCCCTAATTCAATAGATTCCAGAATATTTTTGCCTTGAAACCATCATTTTTTGCTTGATTAATTTTATTTATTTATTTTCTGAAATTAATTGTTTTTTTTCTAGATTTTAGCCGCATGTAAGTTCTAAACTGCAGAGTTGAGAATGTAGAGAAAAAAATCTTGAATTTACATTTTTTTTCTCTGTGTGATTATTCTAATTCCAAATTACAGAAGGGAATTTGGAAATATTAAAGTAAATCATCCCGTCAATTAAGTAATTGGCAAATAACGAATGAATTATCTAGCTAATCGGAAAATCGTCGAAGCCAGATTCCAAATTACCGATGTAATTTGGAGAACTACAATATGAAATTACTTGCCCATTGCAGTAATTCGGTATTGTGAATATTTATTATTCAATAATCTGTAATCTGAGAAATCAAATTCCCGGTTAGTCAAGTATTCTCCAATGGCATTTTATTAGATTATTTCTATCGCCAATAGTTAGTAGAGGTCATTGAAAATTCATTCGAATATTTTGGTAATTTACGATTAGTGCTAATAAAAACTCATGTATTTCCCAATCGATTCAGAAGAATTATAAATTTCAAAGTATTAATGGGTTATTGATATACAACTTGATATTTAATTGTAATCTCCAATTATTTTTCTTAGATTACGAAAGAAAAATGTAATTTAATTTTCCCATCCCTGCTCTAAACTTAACTTTAACCACGGGTTAACTGTGGTTAACTTCAACCAAAAACAGCCCCTTAAATTTCACCGACGTATCCCCTTAACAAAATGAAAGTTCAAAATCGGGATGGATTATCTTTCGAATGTCATCTCATCTTCATAATCTGACATATTTACCTATTTCCATATTAGTTTTTGGCATTCCGGGCCATAAAATATGTTCGGCACATTGCCGAAAAAAACTTTTCTAGCTCATATGACAATCTTATAGTAGCCAGAAACGTTTCTTTCGACCTAGTGACGAAAAATACTATTACATAACGCAAAAGTCCCCAAGAATTATAATGAGACAATTAATTTAAGGCGGAAAAAAGAAACATTTCCACAGAGCGTTTTTAATAAATATTATGAAACACGTCCAATAGTGCCGATCTGATAGCCATTAGATACGTTAAGGTGTTTCGTCTGTAGATCACCGGGGGGTGAAACGGAGGGGGAGTCTTATTGTTCTTGAGCACTGATTCAATCGCTGAGCACAAAATTTTCCAATTTTTAAGTAACTATTTAAGTGTGCATTTGAACATTTTTTGGATATTGATTTTATTTATCAGATTGATTGATTTTTTTGTCATCACCTACGGGTGCCAAATAATTTTTATTGGATGTTATTCTAATTATTGAAATAATATTAAAATGCGTCTCGAGTTGATAAACCTGTCGAGTGTTTTCCCTCTCTCAGTTTCAGGGTCCAACCCATATCTTTCCCATGATGCACTGACATTCGAATCACATGCCTGCGCGTGAGAGCGTAATTGCCCCGAAACTCATAATTTTCCAAATCACTTGTTCAAATAACTTTCTTATGAAATCTGAAAAAAATCTGAAACTTGTATAGTTTCTCAAGAAATTTTTGATTTATCACGCACTAGTTTTTCCTCAATAGTATATTATTTTTTTGGGTGCCATGGAAATTTCCCCTAATTCAGAGTGGAGTAACCTCGGAGGTTATAACTAGAGGGGTTACAAGAACATCCAAATTTCATTATTTTCTGTCTTGAAACTGAGATCTGAAGAAAATGCGCAAGAATTCTCAATGATGCAGCATACTTAGAAATTTCTCCCATGAATTTTCCAATTTTTTTTTCATTATTTTGACTTTTCAGCCGAAACACCTTAAGGGGAGACTACTATGAGTTTTCTCCCCTATGTCGCGGGCTGTTGGAATGAGATTACTTATACATTGAAGATAAATTATATATGTTTAAAAATGAATAATGACTGCAAAAAAATTAATTATTTATTGTTCGTTTGCCCCGCAGACGCTCAAAATGTTAAAAATAGTTCAGGGCCTTCAATTTGTGAGCTACAAAGGTTTTTTTTTCAAAATTTTTGAAAAAATGTGTGCAATAACAATTACGAATTAGTTTTTTGAAATTCGACTTCTATATAGCTAATTCCGTATTTTTTTAAATAAAAAATTGCACCATTCATGTAAGACATCCCAAAAAATGGTTCTAAAGAATCGAGAATACATCTTAAATATTTTAAGGATAATTTTTTTGCCTATTTTACATGAATGGCGCAAATTTTTATATTAAAGAAAATAAAATTAGCTGTGTAGGAGTCGAACTTCAAAAAACTAATTCGTAACTGTAATTGTCAGTATTTTAAAAAAATTTTGAAAACTAAAAAACCTCTGTAGATAAAAAAATTGGAGGCCCTGGAGTATTTTTAACATTTTAAGGATAATCGGGCGAGCTGGGAGGGTTGGAAAAAAGCAGCCATTTTTTTACGTATTCTTTAAATGATGGAAAAGGCGGGTGCAAAGTTTCAGACTGCTGGGGAGCATGGTTAATTTATGATGAATTTTTGAAAAAGTGGTCATTTAACCCGTGATCTTAAGGAAATCATCAAAAAAACTGCAAAACCCAAGGAAAAAATGCAGCCAAAGTCATGAAACTTTATACACATTTAGAACATGTGATCAATGATTCTTTGAGTGAAAAAGATTGTCGCCTAGGAGCATTGTTTATTAATAATAGCGAAAAAAGTACTGAAAAATGACATTTCTGCGCACGCAGCCCAAACGAACAGCAACGTCCCAAGTACCGATCGGGTGGAGGTAGCGCGGTCAATTTAAAGGTTGCTTGAGAGAGAGAGCGATGAAGCGTCGTGATTGGAGCTCCCTCGAGCCAGTGGCACCAGCTCCTAGTGAAAAAAAAACTACCGACGATGTTGCCACTTTCTCGCATGGATTAATATTTTTTCATTTATTAAAGAAAAAAATCTGAAAACCATTCAATGCGCGGAACAGATACAAATAAATTTGATTAACTACAAAAATAATTTTTAACCGGAGATACTCCCTCATATTGTCTGAATTTTGAATCCGAATGGGAAAAATTTTTTTGTTCAGCGATTGGTTTTCTGCAGGAAAACAATAGAAACCCCTCCGCCTCACCTCCTACATTTTCTCCTCGCCTGATTATCCTTAAACATGTGCGAAGCAAACGAACAATGAACAATTTTTTTTCACTAATTATTCGTTTTTAGACATATATAATCGATCTTCAACGCATGAGAAATCTCGGTATAATCGCCCGCAACTTTTAAAAGTCATAGTATTCTCGCCTTAAATTATTAATGTTTAATGTTTTCCTTATTGGGTTCATTGTTCAGTATTATTCAAGAAGGCTGTTTGAAAATATTCAGTTGTTTCTTTTTTTGCATGGAAGCATTGTAATAATTCAAATTCAAGTTTTGAATTTTTTGTGTTATATCGACCCATTACGATCCAAAAAGATTGAAGATGCAATTTTTAAACCGTGTCCGTACGGATGTGTGTATGTATGTATGTATGTGGTAACGTTTTTCTTCGATTTTTCGCTAATGAATGGATTGAATTTTTTTTGAAATGTAGATATTGGTGAGCCCTATCGATCGCCATTAATTAAAATTTAATTCATGGATTAGTTTTTTCAATTTTTGAATTTTTTCGATGGTTGTCCCATGATAACTAAAAAAATTTTCTGAATTGATTGAATAACGGCTTAAAAAAATTGTTTGGATGTTCTTTCGGCCGAGTTCGAAGATGAAGGCAATCGCAATAATCGTTACTTTGGTTTATACAAAAATTTTCAAAAATTTGTATTTTTTCAAAATCCGAATTCCGGGGTACCTTTGAATATCATGCTTCAAATGAATTCAATCATAGCTTATTTTTGTTTTAAGGCCATTAAGTCGAAGTTAAAAGATGATTACGATAGCTATATTGGTTGATTTGATTTTTAGGATGATTGTTGAAAATGTTGAATTTTTCATGAATTTCCCTGAAAGTGAGCTTTCTGATGGTTTCTTCAAATGTAATGTTTTAAATTCATTCAAGTATGTGTAAATAAATTTTTTTTACCAACGTTTTAAGGAAGGGCTGAGGGGAGATATAGAAGTGTAAATAAGACAATCGGTTGTATAGAAGCAAAGAGATAATAACAATGATACTGATACCATTCAACTAAGTTGAAAATCTGACAAAAATAAGTAAAAGGAAATCTTATTTAATTTAATAAAATGAAATAAACAATGAATTATACATGGTAGACGAAAATGACGTGCAAAATAACCATTCGGAAGCATATTGCTAATTTATTAGTGAAAATAACTATGCAATATCCAATACACAAGCAATTTCCCACTTGTTTTATTGTTGTACAATAATAATTTTTGGGGACTCCAGCGTTAGGGAAAATTAATGACAATTGGAGAATATTTCATATTACGGAAATAAAAAAAAAACTATCAAAATCACGTTTGAAAGATAATACACCCGGGCCTTGAGTAGAACAAAAAATATTTAAAGAAATGTAAAAATCTGAAATTGCATAATTTCTTATCTTTAATCAAACGATAATATTACCTGATCGAGTAGGACACGTGACAGAGTTCTCAGTGAAAAAGCACGAATGGTATTAGCACATTTCACATTAGCAATGTTGAATCCATTGGCGAATCCTTTGACAGTCTTCTTGAACCTCTCCAGAAGATTGAACTTAATAAGCGACGCAAGCAGCATCGCAGGAATGACTTTCCTTGATTCATGGTGGATGAGAATCACCCCATCGGCAGCATCGCCCTTCACCTCCTCCAGCCAGTCAAGAAAGTCTGTGATAGCAGAGATCTCGCTTTTGGTTTTTAATACCTGAGTGTAGATATAAATTTTAACGTCTATTAATAACTTTCCTGAGATAATGATGGATGGAGAAGGAGTGGTGAATCGGAGTGATGTGATAAATTGCAGTTTTATGAAAAAAAAAATTCAATCATCTGAGAGGAAAGGGAATTATCGTTGCTTCACAGAATTGGAAGAGCGAAGGGAGTTGAGAAAAATGAATAGAAGGAGGAATGAAAAATTATTACCTTATTGGTTTTGCTGTTTTTTAATAATCTGTATTTCCCCACAGTGACGACTTTGAGATTGTGACGTTTTTTAGCCGCAGGTGTGAGATTCTTAAATGGCATGACGTACTGTGCAAAAGACGAGCTCGGCGTGTAACCAGCAATTTGGCATATCTCATCCACCAGCATTTTTCCAGTCGTATCCATGTCCCATCCAACTAGTCGATAATCACCATGTGGAATGCCCTCAGCGGGTGATGCTCTAATATGCGAAATAGCATCGCCATTTTCTCCTACCATGGATGACACCATTGTTCACAAGATTCCGTGTATTCAAAGCAGTCTTATAATTCAAAACCTGTGAAAAAGTGTGTATTATTATCATTATTATTCGTATTCAGAGCATCTCTCAGCTCGGTGAGTAAACAAGGTGCGTAAAGCATTTGACTCCAAGGCGAAATTTCAAATCAATAGAAGCAAAACAAAAGCAAGGTAACGAAGCGAATTTCAGATGACTTTCAAACATTGTTGATACTGTGAGATACTGTGTGGACTCTAGCCCAGATATCGTTGCGATGGCGAGTTTTTTTTCCACCTTCTCTGTTGTGCTCCCAAATTCCGGAGAATGCAATACTTCGTCGAATGTACAAAAGGAAAGTTGTCGGAGCACAAACGAATCGGATATATTAAAATAATACGAGAATGTTATTTCCAGAAAAACTATAGAAATTAATGATAAATAAATGACCATGAGATCATGTTTGCGTGTGGATTGAGTGAACAGACAAGAGATATAACACTTGAAATTATGTTCCAGACAATTCCAGATACAATTCAATTAAAACTTATTAACCCGTATCAGTCGTTAAAAAAATAATAATTTGCAGAGTGTCGGGCGCAATCAAGATGTCGTGCGCAATGTCAGTCAGGCGCGAAAACGAATCGAATGGTTAAAAAATAAAAAATAAATGTAGCAGCTGCAAGAGTTGTACCAAAGTATTGAGTTACCATTTGCAACGGTTTATGCGAATATTAACGAGAATTTCGCACGCGGTATCCTCATGCAGTATTAGACTCGTTCATCCGTCTTGTCTCCACTCATTTTTTTCTTAATGAAACGTAATCACTCCCGGTCAATGAGTTTTTGCAATTTTAATCCACATTACTCACCAGAAAGTGTGGAAGATCTCGTTGACGATCGAGTCGAAGGAAGTGCGAGACTTTTACTCGTAGGTTCGATCACGACGGTGAATAAATGGCAGTGGAGAAACGTGGTACGTATCCAATATACCGTCTACCTATCAAAGCCACTGGATTGTGGGTGCACGTGTCGCACGGGAGACGAACGGGAATTTAGTTATCCGTATTTACGCATGCGTAACTTATATATTCGTTTCAGCCAAGTTGATTCGCTCGATGGATGGTCAGGTGACATAGTAAAACGAGAAATCGGATGAGTTGAAATTTTTCCCGCGCTTTGTTTATGGTGCAGCGCGTGGCAGTTGAAGTTTTTATGGACCAAGGGGAAGACTAGTGTCGTAAAACCCAGTTACGTGAAGGTTTAAGGGGGTTAATAATGAAAATTCTGCTGTTATGGTTATTTTAGGTTAAATGAGGGGAATTTGAGGGAATGGAGAAATTCTGGTGATATTTTAAGGGATGAAAAAAATTCATTAAAAAAAATTAATGATATCGAGCGGATAAAGCTTAGTAACTGGATTATTTTAATAAATGCGATGTTATTAATGCGATTTCATAATATTAATGTAGAAATTCAAGGAAAATGCGCCTCTAATGCTGCATCGGCTTTGGGTAGTAGTATTTCATTTCACTGAATTAATTTTGCAGCGGAAATAATTACGACAGTCCGATTCTCGCTCAACGTGTGGTATCATGACTTTTCACGAAAGGAGCAAAGCGTACTTACAGTGAGAAGAGCCGGGAAAATCGGATAAACCAGACGGCACTCTCTGTATGTGCAATGGTTTTTTTGATGATTACCACAGCTGACAATTTCAATACTGGCGATAACATGGGCGTTGGCGAATGTGGTTCGTATCGGGATCTGAAATTTTTACGATGGAAAAATTGACGATCGACGAGTTTTTGTTTATTCAATATTTTATTGTTTTTTCGTTTTTCATATGTTTTCATGGGGAAATCTGGATTTGAACCACTCGAACGATTTCACGGAAATTAATGGCTCGTTTGCCAGCATTCGAAGCGCAAAAATGCAGCCTCACAGGAAGGAAAAAATTGTAAAATGATCGTGCACACACGGCGTGGGCTGCAAAGCGCTTTGTAAACACCGGCAGGACCTTTATTATTTCAGTTGCATATTTCGCATGATGCTAGTAATCTTCTGTCTTTGTGCTTGGGGCTAAAAATTCAATCATTTCTGCCTGAGAAATCTTTTTAAAACGAGAGAATAATTATGTCATTTGATTTTTAGAGCCATTTCGGTATACCGCTTTTGCTTGAAAGAATCAATTGCATTACCAGAATTATATTCAGCACCCGGAGACATTGCATGGTGATATCATCCATTTCGTATTCATGGAATTACATTATTTTCACGAACAACGAACACATTTTGATGAAAAAAAATGGTGTTATAGTTATAACGGTGAAATGAATACAGTATCTGTAGAATAGAATAATACATGGAGAAAAAGTTCTGGGAGAATGTAACACACAACTAAACTAAATTAATAAACAGCATTAAAATTCAAAATTGAGTTATTATTAAAATCAAATGTGCTTGACGCTCACGATACCAATCAAATTGATATTCCCCGCGAGCAATTACAGTGGCTGTACTTGAATTAATCACCGACATCTATTGCAGTTTCGCCCCATCCAAAATTATTTTGATACTGAATATTGTAGACATAAAATTGGGGGATATTTGAATTGCCAACGAAATTCTCATGCTATATGAGTCAGGTAAATAGAAATGATCAGTGATCAATTACACACCAATGCATAATGGATTTTCATGTACAATGGTATGTATTAGTGTAGGTCAAAACGAAATGTGCGGCGAGTGCCATTGCTATTAATTTCTAGTGATTATCATTCGCCATCTGCCATTGACTAGCTGAATCCTCTCTCTTCACCAGGACAATTTCATCTGTTTAACTCATCGTGATTGCATTTTGGTTATTGCTATGCTCAACTCGTTTCTGCTCGATTCGAATTGCATCCATGAGGGCCATTTTTTATGTCTCACTCACAATCAGCCTACCAACTGATCAAAGGCCCTTGATTTCCAACGTACAATCAGAATTTTCTATTCGAAATATTGGGGTAATTGGCTGCTACGTCGTATAATTACACACATTATATGGATGGTTATTGAGAGTACAGGATCAATTACTAGTTCAAACGGATTTCAAGTTTGAAATTGAATTTATCGGCAATCAACGGCTGAGGGAAGTAGGGCTAATTTAGTAGATATTCGAACATGACTCGTTTTTGCTTCCGAATGGAAGCATTGCAATCCTTTGATTTTCACATTCTCTAATTTTGATTGGAAATGATGTAGAATGGCCTGGATCGTAAAAATACGAAGTTTGGCGACCATGTGTACATGTGACCAAGTCCACCGCCACCGTCCCGGCGGTCAATTTTTAGAAGATTGAGCAATGAAGTGGCTAAAGTAATTCCGAAAAATCTAAAATCGTGTTAGATTATAGGTCCTAATGAGGACTAGTTCTGTGCAAAATTTCGGCCCAATCAAGCTAATAGTTTTTGAGAAAAAGCGATTCATTTTTAAATCGATTTCAGCAAATATCTTCAAAACCAGGAGACCGATTTAGATCTATTTTCTTTCAAAATATTCGTTTCGACGCCTTCTATATCCATTCATACAAAATTTTCGAGATATTCCCCTTTTTCCGTTTTTTCATAAAAAACTTTGTAAACACTCTAGCTTTTACAAAAATCGAGATATAAACTTTAAATTTGGACAGAAACTATGTGTACCCGCGCATACAAAGTATTCGAAAAATTGGAATTTTGATAGCCCCCATGGATAGTATTTTGATAGTTGTGAAGCTATAAACTTTTGTAATATTTCAGTTCATTCGGAAGCCCATCATCAATGTATTGGTGGTGAAAAAAAATAAGACATCACTTTGTAATTCATGATTTGAAACTTTTCATCTATACTTCATAGCTTAGGTGCTAGGGCGATTTGAACAATTTAATTGTTAATAATACATAACTCCGATGCCTAAAGTTAATTGAAAATTGTTTACTTGACGTTTAGTGATCATATTTTATTGTTTAAAACAACAATTACGCATTAGAACGCGAGTGGTCGGTGCATGTCTGAAAATCGAGGGTGTCCCGCAGCTCTACAGTTGAAGACGAAATATTTAATCCACTTTCCCCCACTTTCCATGAAAATTTGTAGCTCAGTCGCTAAAAATTTCCCGCGTGGAAATTACTTCAGGCCCACCTGAAGCATGATCACAACTTGATCAGTTTTTTGTAAGGTTCGACTGATCCGGTGATTCCTGATGAGAAGCTGACCAAGTTCTGATCCAGCAGATCGGATCCGAAAAATTACAGGTGGGTTCGGATCAAGTTCTGATCAGGTAGACATGATCAGATGATGCCTGATGAGAACCTGACCAAGTTCTGATCCAGCAGATCGGATCCGAAAAATTACAGGTGGGTTCGGATCAAGTTCTGATCAGGTAGACATGATCAGATGATGCCTGATGAGAACCTGACCAAGTTCTGATCCAGCAGATCGGATCCGAAAAATTACAGGTGGGTTCGGATCAAGTTCTGATCAGGTAGACATGATCAGATGATGCCTGATGAGAACCTGACCAAGTTCTGATCCAGCAGATCGGATCCGAAAAATTACAGGTGGGTTCGGATCAAGTTCTGATCAGGTAGACATGATCAGATGATGCCTGATGAGAACCTGACCAAGTTCTGATCCAGCAGATCGGATCCGAAAAATTACAGGTGGGTTCGGATCAAGTTCTGATCAGGTAGACATGATCAGATGATGCCTGATGAGAACCTGACCAAGTTCTGATCCAGCAGATCGGATCCGAAAAATTACAGGTGGGTTCGGATCAAGTTCTGATCAGGTAGACATGATCAGATGATGCCTGATGAGAACCTGACCAAGTTCTGATCCAGCAGATCGGATCCGGAAAACTACACGTGGATTCGGATCAAGTTCTGATTAGGTTGACATGATCAGATGATGCCTAATGAGAACCTGACCAAGTTTTGATCCAGCAGATCGGATCCAAAAAACTACAGGCGCGTTCAGATCAAGTTCTGATCAGGTAGACATGATCAGATGATGCCTGATGAGAACCTGACCAAGTTTTGATCCAGTAGATCGGATCCGAAAAACTGCAGGAAGATTCAGATCAAGTTCTGATCAGGTAGGCACGAGCTCACCCTGGGGTCGGCTGCCTGACCCCAATTTGATCAAATACGGATTTGATGTCTTTGATCGACATTTGAACGGGGTCAATTGAAGAGAAAATGATCAGATTCAGATCCGATCCACCTGACATTAATTTTAATAAGTTTTTCAGATAATTTAATTAACTATTATTATACTATTCAAATTAAGTTTTATCAAACATTATCAATAATTAGTTTCCATCTTTAAAAAGGATAATTATACTATAATTAAAATAAATTAAATTAAATTAATTTCATTTAATTAATCAATTTAACTAATAACCAGCCCTTCTCACATGTATAGAAGAAAGGGATGATGATGTCGTAAATACGTATTAGAGGAGTATCAAACTTACACGCAAATGATTAAAAAAAAAATCACCACATGTCTATTTATTTATTAGAGTTATTGTTATTATCATTATTATTATTCATTAATGAAATGAATAAAAATTGAATTGAACATATTTTATCTCTGAGAATACACACGCACCTCCGCAAGATCAGGAATAATCGTAAATTCAACGAATACCCCGATACAAATCATATAGGCAATGTACAGTTTACTCAATAGTAATAGCGTGATAGTGTAGTGGTTAGGGCATAGGATTAGCAATCATAGAGTCTCCGGTTCGATCCCCAGCATCGGTAAAAAAATAATAAGCTTTTTCAGAGGTAATAACAGTACAGATTCATTAAGACAGGTGGCCTACGGTGAAAGAATTGAATTATCTTTGGCTTTGGATTAGTTATCATTGATAATTGTTATTGACACAGACAGACAGGTCATCCGGTTTTCATACAGTTGACTGGATCAAGTTCGGGTCCATTCGTCCTGATCAAATCCGGATTGGTCAGAGGCGTAACATGTCTGATCAAGACCGGATCCG